AGTAGAAATAGGTAATAGATCAGTTAGTCTGACATCATGATAGAGAAATTATTGGAAAAAATTCTGAGGGACGGGATTAATCTTGAAAAGACGGATTGTCAGGGATAGTCAGCACGAATTTGTTAGAGGGAGATCCTGTCTGATTAATTTTAGTTGAGTTTTGTTTTGAAAAGGTGACAAAATATATTGATGGGGGTAGTGCAGTTGATTTATATGGACCTCAGTAAGGCCTTTGACAAGGTCATACTTGGGAGGCTCATCCAAATGGTAGGCGCTTATGGGCTCCAAGGCAAGTTAGCAAACTGGAGGCAAAAGTGCCTATGACCAGCAGTATATCACAGGGATTGGTGCTGGCACCCTTGCTGTTTGCTATGTACATTAATGACTTGGATGTGAGTGCAGAAGGTATAATTAATAAGTTTTCAGATGACATGAAAATTGGTGATGTTGTTGATAGTGAGGAGGATGGTCTCAGATTACAGTCTGATATTGGTCAGCTGGTAAATTGGGCAGACCAATGACAGATGGAATTTAATCCCAATACTCAATTAATGGTAGATCCTAAGGAAGTACTCAGGAACAAAGAGAACTTGGTCTACAAGTCCACAGATCCCTGAAGATGTCAGCACAAGTAGACAAGAGTAGTGAAGGTGGCATATGGGGCCCTTGTCTTAATTAGCCAGGGCATAGAATATAGCAGCAAGGCAATCTTGTTGACACTTTATAAAACATTGGTTAGGCTGGAAATGGAATACTGTGTGCAGTTCTGGTCGCCACACTATTGGAAAGATGTGATTGCCTTGGAGATGGTGCAGAGGAGATTCACCAGGATGTTGCCTGGGATGAAAAGTTTCAGTTATGGGGAGAGACTGGACAAGCTGGATTTGTTTTCCCTGTAGCAGAGGCGGCTGAGGGGGGATCTGATTAAGGTATACAAAATTGAGAGGCATAGACAGAGTAGATTATGAGAATCTTCTCCCTGCGGTTGACATGTCGAAGACCAGAGAGCATATGGTTAAGGTGATGAGTAAGTGGTTCAAAGGAGATCTGAGAGACTTCTTTTTTCACCAACAGGGTGGTAGAAATATGGAATGTGCTGCCTGATAGGATGGTGAGGGCTGGTACTCTCACAACATTTAAGAAGCATTTGGATGAATACTTAAAATACCAGGGCATAGTAGGCCAAGGATCAAGTACAGGTAGATGGGATTAGTGTAGTTTAGTGTTTGTTGGTTAGCATAGATATGGTGGGCTAAAAGGCCTGTTTCTATGCTGCATGACTCTGACCCTATAACAAGTTAGAATTAAGAAACTGTAGGCATATTTGTTTGAATTCAATCATAAACAGGCTGCCAGAATTGGTTGTTACAGATGGATTTACACTACTTTTCAGTAGAATCTTAATTTTAACCAAAGATGGTCCTGTCATTGCCTTTGATGTAGTCTTGAAGATAGTGTAAAATTGGTGGAGGTTGAAAGGCTATTTATCATGATGATTTGAAAAGCCTTTGACAAAGTGCCATGTAAAATACTAACAAGTAAGTAATTAGCCAACGACATATCTCTCTCTCCCTCTCTCTTTCTCACTCTCACTTCCCTCACCCCCCCCACACTTCCATTACAGACAGAAAGAGAGAAAAAAAAACGATTGGTTACATGGAGCTTGAGGGGCATCTTGTAGGGCAAGGTGTGTGTGGGGTTGAGTCTTGTGGGCTGCACTGGGTCAGGTTACAAGTGGAACCTCATGAACACTAGATATAGATTAGTGACAATAAAATCTAAATCTACCCTACTTCAACTTTTAACCTTCTTCCAGATCCTTGTATCAGAGAAACCGTCCCCAGGTTTATGAATGACGGCAACATATATGCAGCTTCAAACACTGGACATTAAAACCGACCAACCGACCGACTGACCGACTGACCGACCAGATTCATGGGCCTGAATCTGGCCCATGTCTTTTAACATTGATAAATGTAGCTAGCTGCACTCAGACTTGGAACTATATAGTTGTTTCTTCTTATTGCTTAGACAGAATCCTGTAATTCCCTTCCTTAGAGCACTACAGGTGTCCCTGCACCTCAAGGACTGCAGGGTTTCAAGAACACAACTCACTGCCACCTTCTGCAGGGCAATTTGGGATGGACAATAAATGCTGGCCTAACCAGCAATGACCAGATTTCATGAATGAATTAAAGACTGGGATAATATCAAGCACGTCTGTGTATATACTATACAGCATTGTGTTCAAGACTGCTGGATAGGAAAAGGACCTGAGGGGGGTTGTATTACAAATTAGTCATTGTCCATGAAGAATTTGCAAAAGCAGTCGTGGTATAAGCTAATTCTGGCAGTATATTCTAAGTAGGAAACTACAAATATCCAGTCTGGGTTCTATAACTAACTCGGAGATATAAACCTAGTAATTATTCATACAAGACTCAACTGAAACTAGGGTTGGAGAACTGGAACTATTAATTTAGAAAAATGTTGACTTTTGGGATTCATTGCTTAAATAACAACAATGTGGCTTCTCAATTGTGATGGTGGGTGAATGAAAAAGTTGTACCATAGCCAGGATGGAATGGGTTGATAGCTGAATATGTCTTCTGAATTTGTTCCTAATTTCAAAGCCTAATTTAGCCTTCAAAATAGCTACAATGTCAGCTAAAATGCTATTAAATCAGCAAAATAATTAAGGTTTGCAATTCATGAATATTCCTATTGAATTTAAATTGGTTTAAAATTCCTTTCTGCAATGCATTTACTTTACCAGATATGGAACATTATCTGTGAGCAAATTCCAGTCAAATACTCTTCAAATGTGTTACTGATTTAGATACATAAATTATGTCAAGTAAAGTGAAGGCAGAATTGAAATTCAACAACTCACGAGAGGCCAGTTTGAGATCTAATGCTCCCAGCTGGGAGGCACACTCATGACAGGAAATTGTAAGTCAAGGGTCTGTGACTTCCTTTGTGCATTAAAATTAATATTAAAATAATAGCTGAGAAATCAGACTGTGCACCTGCGCCACACTTCCTGCATACAGCTCATTGCTGGGAGCACAGGATCAGAAAGCCAGTCCTATGTAAATGGAATCAGCATTGTGATCTACAAGTTAAGAAAATCCAACAGCAATGTTGCTCACTGCATATGAATTAGCTTGTTTTAGTGCCATTCAGCAAAAACCTGAATGGAAGTGACAGGTCAAGTGCCCAGCCCAGAGTACTGGGGCAGTACGGTGGCTCAGTGGTTAGCACTGCTGCCTCACAGCGCCAGGGACCCAGGTTCAATTCCACCCTCAGGTGACTGTCTGTGTGGAGTTTGCACGTTCTCTCTTGTGTCTGTGTGGGTTTCCTCCAGGTGCTCCGATTTCCTCCCACAGTCCAAAGATGTGCAGGATAGGTGGATTGGCCATGCTAAATTGTCAATAGTGTTCAGGGTGGGTCTGGGTGGGATGCTCTGAGGGTTGGTGTGGACTTGTTGGGCCAAAGGGCCTGTTTCCACACAGTAGGGATTCTGTGATTTCTATGATAAACAAAAGTGGTCTTTGAGATGCAGTTTGAATTAGGGCCTAATTTATTGGCAAGTTCGCCCACCATCGTTCATTCAGTCACAGAAATGGTGGTAAAAGGCTATTGAATAATATGGTTGATTAGGGAAGCAAAAAGTAGTCTGAAGAATCAGCAGAATAGTCTTCAACAATCAGTCGTAAAACGGCACCATTAATAGCCAGATGGCAAGTTAAAAAGATACTTGATCTTCCTGAATTGAGAGTGAGAATACAGAGTATATGCGGTTGGTGAACATCAGGACCCATTCGAAGTCCCCAAGTGCGTACGTGCACAGTTGTTGCTAAGGAAATGTTAAATGTTGGATCAGCTGATTTGGGTTGCATGAGATATACTAGAAAACTTGCTCGGTGTAATTTCTGGTGTAACAGTGAATAACAGTCAACCCAACTCATTACCCTCCACACCCGCTTAACTGACACTTCCCACATCTTCACACACACTACTGGCTTGAATGTCCAGAATCACTATCTACCCCGACTACTCACCACCCCCACAACGTGTGACTAGCTGCTGCCATCTCACCTCCAATCTCACTCACACCCTCCCTCACCCAACAACCCCAGTGAAAATTTTGGGACCTATAAATGCTTCGCTGGAGATGCCAGCTAATGTCATAAGCCTGCTGTGTTCCTCCTCTTTGCCAATCTTCTCTGGATCATTGCGCTGAGCCATGCTTGTTCCAGCCAGCATCAGAAGTCTTAGCTGGGAGGGCAAAAAGATAAGAGTGCAAGGATCACTGGAGCTAGCAACGATGTGTGTAACAACACTGTTAACTGGAAGATCTTGCCCCAGTCAATGCCTCTCCACATCCTCATTGCTTACGTCAGTAATCATTTAATATGGTCTGAAGGGATGCCTGAGATCTGTTGGAATGGGGGTTTGGTGATGGATATATTAAAGATTAATTGGATATGAATTTGTTGTATAAATACAGCAAGCTAAATAACCAGTGGAATGAGCTTTTCACGGGGGGAGTTAACTGAAATAAAACTCTTGTTAAAATTGTTGACTTGGTCTCTATTTAAATACAATTCTTATTGTATGACAAAAACTGAGTGGAAAGGACAATAATATGAGAAGAACAATGTGCTTGAGAGCTTGCTGTCTGTTCTTGTTCTTGCCACTAAGAAATTAATTCTCTTGCCAGAATTTTATTTTCAGAAGTCATGTATTTATTTTTACTTGTCCCAACTTTGAATTTTGTCTTTTTCTGTTCAAAATTCTGTGTCCAATGAAGCAAAGTATCTTGTTATTTTTAGCTACACCAGCCCCCAAACCTCCTCACCAGCTTACACACAGAACTTTTCTATTTTTCTTTTCTCCTTTGTTACATTTCAGTTTATTGTTCCCTGAATGTGCCAAAAACTCAAACCCTGACACTCTTCTCTTCTCAGATGCTGACTGACCTAATACCTGCACTTTAATTTATATTTCAGATCTCAGAATGTGTAGCTTTTCCTTTTCATGAAAGGAGTGAAGTGCAAAATAGGTATTGAAATTTTCACAGACTTCAGCTTTTGTATATATGAAAAGCGTAAAATAAATAAAGTAGTCTAGTTTAGCTGATGGTCAATTAAAATAAGACTACCTTCAGGAAGTTCCTTTGCAGGATTAGGAATCACTGATTTTCACAAAGTGATTTTGTTAAAAGAAGTGTTCCTTTAAAAAAGTAACCTAGCAGTGTCTATCTTGCATGCGTTACTGCTAGAAATACGTTTTTAATATATGACATTTTTCAAATTTAAAGGCAGCAGGTGTTGACTTTTCAATAGAAAAGCTCTACTATCACTTACACTGAAGAGGGTCTGATTTGCAGATCCAGTTTCATCAATGAGAAGATCATATCCCAGCCTGGATGAAATGAGTGTATCAGCACTCAACTCATCATAGTAGATAAAACTATTGTTCCTGGAGATATGGTTTTCAAGATCCCTCCATGGCAAGGTCTAGATGCAATAAGAAATTACCAAGTGTTAATCTCACACCAGAGTTTTGCGATTACCATTATCTGTCATTGTAATACTGGCTCAGTTTGTCAGCACGCTGAGACAGAAGGATGTGAGTTCGTGCTCTAACCCATCACCTGACCTGGCACATTAATGAAACCCTGGGGGAATGCTACATTGTTGAAGCAACAGTTCCAAGAACAATAGCAACTTGGATTCCTACAGTGTCTTTAAGTTGAGTCATTAGATTAAGGCAATGCTTGCAGCTAAAAGGTGCATGTTAAAGATTCCATGGTTTTACAGAAAATATTCCCACTGCTCTAGTTTATAATTTCTCTCAAACACTCCCAACAAGCAGATGGGCTCTTTAACAAGCATAATCAGTGGTTGACAAATTTCCACGTCACTTCTATCCTCAACTGGATATTCAATCTTTTCAAAAGCAGGAAGGGATAGTTCGGGAGCTTTTTTTTACCTCATTTACTCCAAAACCAGAATCTAAGGGCACGAACAAAGTTTCATTGGTTGTCTCATCTGATAGGAATTCCAGGAATTTCATTCCTTCTTCAGTGGCATTGGCATAATCTAACAATTTCTAACAAGAAAGAGAAAATAATAATATACACTGATGATCACATTTGTAACAATGGAATTAAAGTCATGCAGGAGTAATACTCACAGAATAAAAGACTGAAAAATTGGAGTTACTGGAGAGCACATCCACAAGGTTCCCATTGCAGGAATAACCATCACCCACAAAGCCTTCCTTACATACACACTGAATATCTATGAAGTAATTGTGCCAGAAAAATACCAACTAATTAGTGTAACTTAAATATTTGGTAAATCAAATGCTACTTTAGATCTTTTATTTAGAACAGTAAATTTAGCTAAGGAATGCATTGAATTCCTTGCTTACCTTGCTCTCTAAAGCAGTAAGCGTCCCAAAGCGCACTGAGATTTGTTTGCACTCCATAATCCATTATACCAATCTTGTTAGAGCCACAGTTAGGATTTATGTGGGTTGTGGGATATCCTGCTTTCTTATCAGCCATCCATCCAATAACACAAAGGTGGTAACCAAACTGTGCAAGATAAATCAAAGAAACAATCGTTAAGTAGTTCACGAAGGGAGGTCCTCCACCTGAAAAGTGAACACTTTCTTTCTCCACATGTGCAGCCTGACCTGCTGAGCATTTCCAGCATTTTCTGTTTTTGTTTGAGATTTCTAGAATTCCCAGTACATTATTTTTGCAATGTAATATTTCCAATTTTGTGGATAATACAAAGCTGAGGAGGAATGTGTTTTGTGAGGAACATGTAAAATGCGTTCAGGAGGACTTCCTCAGACTTTGTGAATGGACTAAACATGAAAAACAGAATATAAGGTGGAAAATTGTGTGGATATCCATTTTGGCAGGAGAAACAAATGTGCAGAATATTTCATAAATTGTAGGAAATGTAGGAAAATTTGGAAAACATAGATGTGCAAGTGATCCGGGTGTTTTTGTTAATAAGTCACTGGAGGCTAACATGAAGGTACAGCAAGCTATTAGGAAAGCTAATGAAATGTTGGCCTTTACTACATGAGGATTTGAGTACAGGGATAACAAAGTCTTGCTTCAATTGTATAGGTGCTTCGTTAGATTGCGCCTGGAGTACTATGTGTACTTTTCGTCTCCTTAAACCAGCAAAGATATTATTGCTGTAGAGGAAGTGCTACGAAGGTTCATTAGATTTGTTCCCAAGGTGGCAAGACTGGGCATACTGGGCCTGTATGCTCTAGAGTTTTGAAGAATGAGGTGATCTCATTGAAGCTTACAAATTACTTAAGGCGATATACAGGGTAGATGCAGCTAAGTGTTTCCCTTAGTTGGGGAGTCTAAAAACAGAGATGGGTGCCGTTTAGGTCAGTGATGAATAGAATTTTTTCACTCAGATGGTTGTGAAACTTTGGTATTCTCTATCGGTGGCATCTCAGTCTTTGAGTATGTTCAAAGTAGAGATTGATAAGATTTCTGATCACCAGTGGCATGCAGGATTATTGGGGATAGGGTGAATAAAAAGCATTGAAGTGATCAATCAGCCATGATCGTATTGAAGGGTGGGCAGGCTGAATGGCCCACTCCCACTCCCACGTGCCTTTGTCTGCAGTGAACTTGCAATTACCTATTTAAAGAAACCACTCCAGGTACTTCCACAAATCTTGAAATATATCAATTTTTCACAATCCTTCAAAACTTAAGTATGCTAATTGATATTAAATGTAAAGTGTCTGCATAACAGCACAGGCACATGCAAAATTGACTTCTGTTAAACAGCTTGACTTTTGCCAAACAAATTGTGTAGACATTTACCTGTTGGGCAGTAGCAAGTTGATCAAAACTTGCCAGAGTAGCCCCCTCAGCGTTGCAGGCAGCTATTGCACCTTCAAAGGTAAATCTATACTTCCCAGTGGGTGACTGCAAATGGAATACTCCAGCTGTTTTATCTGGAAAAATGAACAACATTGCTACTCATAAAGTGCCTGTGATATGACTTTCACAACTGAATTATTTATTATTCCCCTGAAACCTCCAACAGAACAGCAACCTAGATATTGTACAATCATGCCAACCAAGGATATAAGAAACTGTTGGTTACAGTCTTGGGACGTGTGTGTATTAATGATTTGCAGGTAATATACTTGTGTTTCTTTGCCCCCCACAACTGAGCTCAGATACAGCCTGGATTATTCAAACTAGGTGAGGCATCGCAGCCAAGCCCACCACTGACCTGACCCAAGAGCCACATATTTGCACTTTCCATGCAGATTAGTAAACTGGAAACTAGAAGCGGGAGGTCTTTGTTAGATTTATTCCGTTCAATGGGAAAGTGAGACCAATTGGACTTCACGCAGTGCTGTCCCAGCACAGAATTGACATGTACCTGAGGCTTTTCATGACTGAACAGTTGTTATGCCTATTATATTACAGGCATAATAATTCAAACACTACTTCAAATCCCAATATGATAGTCCGCCTCCCCCTCTGTCCCTATTAATTTCAGAACCCCCTTCCCCTCCCCCATTTCTGATGAAGGGTCTAGGCCCGAAACGTCAGCCTTCCTGCTCCTATGAACCTGCTTGGCCTGCTGTGTTTATCCAGTTCTACACCTTGTTATCTATGATAGTTTGTGAACTTGAGTTCAGTTAATTAAATAATCAAGAATCATAAAGCTAATATCCATAATGGTGACAATGAAGCTATTGGATTGTTGTAAAGACACAACTGATTCACTAATGTCATTTTAAGGAAGTGTTAGGGCTGCCATGTTCGAGAGCAGGACAAAATGGCTGATGGCTGCTCATGGCATAAGCAGCAAAATATGGCTAACAGTAATTTTAGGGAGCTTGGGAAAACATTTCACTTCATATAGTCTGCATAAGTTAGAACAACGATAGCCCTGTAGACCCAAGATAACAGAATTGAGATAGCACAGTAGGCCTCATAATCATCCAAAAATACAGCTGCAGTTGTTTACGCTGGAGACATAGACAAGAACATTTCACATCAGAATTCTACATTTAATTAGTTAATCTGTTACAATAAGATTTTTCAAATAATCTTAGGTATATGATTCTAAACTAGTTATAGATTTACATGCACACATATATATCAACCCACTTATAATTCCTTCTTTTCACATGTTATAAGTACAGTTACAAGATAGAGGGGCTGTGTTTGTTTGACATTCTGAGGTCAGGTGAGAAAGAAGCTGCTCATAATCCATTAGCTAAAGAATTCTAACATTAGACGTAACATTATACATGTCTCTCTAATTTTGTACAGGAACTGATATTACAAATTTTAGAACAATTGGTAGAAATTTAGCATCCTTTTATATCTCTTATAAATGAGATTAGTAAGAAAAATAAATTGCATAACAGAATTTGAAAAGTCATAAATTATTGGCAATTAATGTGATGCAGCTGGCAAGTGAGAGAGGAGGAGTATGCCTATCAGTATATTGAAATGTGATTGGATGCAGTATCCACTGTGAAAATCCCCAAGAAGGGAGATTAGAGTCTGGGAAACATTGAGAGACCATGGAAGACCAGGGGTTCACCGTAAGCCTGGCCATCTCTAGCTGTGCAGTTACATTAGCTTAATTGGAAGTGTATGGTAATTAGTTAATAATGATTGGTCCGTATTTGCTAGAGGTGGGCTGAAAACAAATGTATAAACATGTATGTCTTTCTTTTGTTCATTGAAGAACTTGCTTGATTCTCAGATGGTCTCTTCCCACCGATGTAATTTCAATAAACTCTTCGACGCTGGGAGTGGACCCCCCGGGTATTGAGTGATTTATTTGGTCATTCTGCCCCTAAAGGAGGAATTCTATTTGTGACAGTAGACCCACTTAACAGGCTCTTAAATGTCTACTGAGTTGCAGGGCAAGTTATAGCCACTATCTTAAGCCCATTGGAAAAACATGGCTGCATGTATATGATCCACAAGATCAACTCAAAGCAGCTCACAAAGGTTACTTTAACAGCATTTCCTAATCCTGCAAGACCTATCAGTGAAAAATAATCAGTAGGCACATGGGAACACTACCACCTTCCATGTTCCCGTACAGCTTTCATAATACACTGACTTTTAAAAAAAACATTTTCTCCTCATGTTGCTGGATCAAAATTTTGGAGCTCCCTGACTAACTTTGGGAGTCGCTATACACCACATGATTGCAGCAGGAGGTAATGACAATTAGGGGTAGGCAATAAATACTGAAAGACTAGTGCTATCCGTATCCCATGCATTAATAAGTTTAAAAATGTATTTTTCCGAGTCCAACTGAACTGGATTATTAGTCTCCAAACCTGTGCATAGGATTTCTCCTGTTTTGAATAGCAGTTATTAAAACACAAGTTTCCTGGATTGATGCAGATAAAAGCATCATTGGTCATCATACAGTAACCAAATTATGTTCTATGTAACCACTGTCATCATAGCAAATTATAAGTTAAGTGAAATGATGCCACATAACAAAATAAAGTCTCACCTTGGAAATGGAGATCATTGCAAAAGGCATGAGAATGACATAGATTCCTTTCAAGACAACGATCTACTGGTGGTTTGGCATTTACTAAACATTGGATACCGTCACCTCTGAATCCTTCTTTGCATTCACACCTCCGTTTGTTCTACAACAGAGTTTTTAAAAAAAAATGTTTTGAATCAACTCATTTCATAAACTACTCATTAAACATATCTGAACTCGAGGTTTAAACAGGAATACAAATTAGGAGCCTTACAGTTACATTAGACACAAAATTATTTCAAAATGTGCTCCATATCTTTTAAGAACATAATTGCAGAACATCTAAATAAAGAAAAACTCTTAACATTCAATTCCTTGAGCATATCAAATACTAAAACTAAAACTGTAAATACCATTCTATAAATATTTGGAAATTACATCTCTTCTAAAGTAGGAAAGAGAGGAATTTCACCCAAGCACATATGATACTGGTTAATTTCAAAACATTCCTGTGCAATTTTGAAAAGTGGTTTAATTATGACATATTGCTTTTAGACTTCCTATTTAACTAAATTAAAAAGTTTTGTTTTCAAAAATGATTTGATGGATCGTATTTTATTCATTATTTTCAAAGCATAACTAGCACAGTATAATTTCCCTTTAAATAATGGGTTGGGGAGGTAGTATTGAAAGATTCTTTATAACAGCCCTCAAAGATTATCAGAGGTATGTTGATAATAACTGTGCTATAACATATTGAGATGGATGTCAATCCAGGGTCTCAAACTTATTCTCTGACTTCAAACGTATGACAATCATTAACTGCCAGCTAGCTGACTGTTAGCAATTTGTACACTAAACTATAATCCTTTTCCAAAGAACTGTGACCGCTGTTACAGGTCAGGAATCCAATGTAAAAACAACAAGCCTCCAACCCTTCCCCGAACTGGTTACTTATTCTTCTGCTGATCTTGACAGTTATAATAACTGATCTATATACCAGCAGTAAATTATAAATTACCCTTAATGATTCTAACAATACATTTTAGTTCACAAAAATAATTTTAACCAGTCCTAATGTCTTTTGCACTTACTGGTCCAATATTGATGCATATTGCATGCTCGCTGCATCCACCATTCCTGCCATCGACACATCGGTCAATGGGGCTGCAGATATAGCCATCACCCTCGTGCTCTGGTTGGCAAGTACAGGTTATGTTAATCCCACTTTGACTACAGGCAGCATATTGATGGCAGCCTCCATTATTGGTCTTGCAGCGGTCAACCACTATATATAAAATTACTATATTAATGAATGTGCCTTGATTCTTTTCTTTCCATACAAGATCAACAAGGTAGATTTAGTGGCTAAATGAAATCTTATTATAGCATGTCTTCTACTATAGCATGACTTCTACTATACCTTTTTTTTCTCTAATCATTCTTGATCAGAGTTTAAAAATATTAGCCAGCTCAAACCTGGTCCAAAATCTGTTCTATCCTTTCAGGGAACAATGACCTAACCAATGTGCCTATTGAAGAAGATGCCTCATCCCTCCTAAGGGAGCAAAACTAGAAGCTTCTATATACCAAGATTCCAATTGGTATGTTAATAACGACCGCCATTGAATTTGAGATGCCTTTTTACAGACAAATTTGAGTCAGATTGCCTGTGCCACACTCATGGAATTGTATCAGGGCAGAACATCCCACCTGTCGTATGCAGAATTAATTTTGTCTCATTTTTCCACCATGTGTTTGTGACCCATGATTGGAGAATTAAAATAAAGCTGCTGAATTTTGTATCAGAAACCTACAGCACAGAAGCATCATGCTTTTGCTGGATCTTTGAAAGTCCTGTCATACTTAGACAAAAAGCAAGAGAGTGGGGCTATGGCCCTCTCAGTCACACATCCTCAAGCAGCTGCCCAACTTCCTATTAAAATTACTAACGATGTCCGCTTCCACCATCACATTAAGTAGAACATCCCAGATTCCATCAACTCTTCAAGTGAAAACGATTCTGCTTATCTTTCCTTTAGATCTTTTGTCTCTATGAATTATTGACTTACTCAAGGGAACAATTTTTCTGTATCTATTCTTATCAAAGTGCCTTGACATTTTGGAAATTTCTATTTAATCAGCTCACAATTCTTTCTGTTCAGAGAAGAGTTGTAGCCTTTCTAATTTCTCCTCATAACTGATGCCCTAAGTTCTTGATAGATATTTTCTAACCAACCTGTTCAAAGTTTATTACACACCTCTGGAGCAGGTGGAAGTTGAAACCATGGCCTCCTGGCTCAGAGATAGAGCCACCATCATTGCACCACAAGCAACTCTTCTAAATCCTGGGTTTATTCTGCATTTGGCACTTTCTGAACTGAATTTAAAAAGGTGGGGAAATGAGATTATAGTAAAGTGCTCCAGTGAAAGAATCAGTACCAGTGCAGGCACCATGGGCTATGATTATATCATTGAACTGTTACAGCAAGAAAAGTCATTGGTGCAAAGTTGTCCCTAAGAGGGTGAATTTTGAGGCAATTATAAATATCTCTGCACAAGAATGCCACGGACAACAATAAAGGTAAAATAACATTGATTTTTTTAAAGGGAAAATTGAACATGTGAAATAGGGAAGTTAATAAAACGCTACATTAATTTCTGATTTGTAAAAGATTTAGCATCAGTATGATGACCCAAGTATGTCTCTTCCCTATTGTGTACTCCTATGGTGTTAAAATTCTAACATCTCACACTGCAGTCCTAAAATGACACTGTTGTATTAATTTATACAGAGTTTGCATATTCCAATTGAGTCTAAAATTAGTCTCTTTACAATTTTAACAAATGCATTCACCTGTTTCAAAATAAATACTTAAACCCCATCAATGACATAGTGAGAACACCTACTGGGACCATAATTTAGGACCTAAGGACTTGAGCTGAATATAAGCTAGTCTGAACATCTAGACAACCAAATGGAATTTACAATTATATTTAGAACAAAAACAAAATTGCTGGAAAAGCTCAGCAGGTCTGGCAGCATCTGTGAAAATAAAAAAATCAGAGTTAACGTTTCGGGTCCGGTGACTCAGAACAGTTCTGGGGAAGGGTCACCAGACCCGTAACCGATTAACTCTGATTTCACAGATGCTGCCAGACCTGCCGAGCTTTTCCAGCAACTTCTGTTCTTGTTTCTGATTTACAGCATCTGAAGTTCTTTCGGTTTTTACAATTATATTTGTTAAGCTTGGCCAAACATATATATGTCCTTGCCTGTACATTTTCTTCCGTCACCTTCATAGTATGGATTACACTCACAGATGTTGTCACTTCTGCAAACAGCATTGCGATCACACTTTGGGAAACATGCAGATTTTACAGCTACATTAAACAAAAATACAAAAAATTCAGTGCTTCAAGATTGCAGTAAATATGACATTATATACAATAAAGATAATTAATCAAACGTGATAAAGACACCAGTTTCAATCTCCTATTCAGTGGATAAATCACTATCCTGACTGCTGCACTTTCATCCATGGTTCAAACCAGTAAGTTTGGAAAGTTAAATTTTATGCAAGGCTCAAATCAATACATTTTAATTCTTTGATTAAAGTTATTTGCCTCTATTTGATTTTATGCAATTCAAGTTGTCCCAGAACAAAAGCAACTTTGTTTTTGTTCCTGATTTACAGCATCCGCAGTTCTTTCTTTTTTATTTGGCATTTACAAATTACTGAGTGTCATAATTGTTCAAAATTTGTTCAGTGTGAACATCTAAAATATAGGCACATTACTACCAGAAAGGTACGTAATGAATTTTAGCAAATAACATTTCTTTTAATTACACTATCTGTGCCAAGAATCTATGAACACAAATTCATGAGAGTTTAAATGTATAAGAGACATTTTTCTATGAAGATAACACAGGAAAAATGTCTAACTTCAGTCAGAGAAAAATAACTTGGTGATGTAGCTTAAAAATGTCACCCTTGAAACATTAATTTCTCCCTGCCAGCTGCTGCTTTACGTTCTCTCATTTACTGTTTTTATTTCAAAGATCCAAGATTTTAACCCATATCTGTCCAGGATTTGCAGGATTTTTTATGTGATTTATCAGTAATTATCATCATTAATCCCCTGAATCTGACAACAATTTTAGGATTTAGCATGCATCCATGAATGGGTGAAATTCTGAAGTTGCACTCTGTTATTCACTGCTGAACCACAGGCTACACTATATACTACACCAAACTACCCCCAACCTTTTCCAACCACGGCCCTGACTGTCCCCAGAGTCAGCTTTAATTGGAATCAACTGGCAACTACTTCCTCTTTTTCTACATTCCTTTCACAATTGAACCCCAATAAAAAAAAGCCTTACTCAATGAGTTAAAACTAGATTTTTAAAACAGATTTGAGTAATACCTACTGTTGAACCACACTGAAATAACGCGTGGAATATTATCAAGTGTCTTTGCCATGATTAATTTTTAAGATATTTTAACTAGATGTTTAAAATAACAAGAATTTTTTTCAAAATAGCTCAGATTCAACCTTTTAGTTCACATATATATCCAAATCTCTATTTTGCATAAAATGTTTCAAAAGTGATTTGATTATTAGTGCTTTCAATTTCTGAATTAGCTGACTGTGAGAATTCTGTAATGTGATTAGTAGCATAGACTGGTTGATGATATTACTGCAACTCCACACAATTTTCTTACTTAGAAGTATTCATTCTTCTGCGCATGAAAGTAAACAGCGATATTGATGTCAGTGTGATGTTGCACTCAAGTTGACTTTACTGCTATCATTAGAACAGTGAAAGCTATACTCATTTATATGTACAAAATATTACAAAGTAAATAAGATTTCCATTGGAGCAAATTAATTCAAATTTAGCAATTTGAAATTCTTTAGTTACCGTGATTTGCTTTATCAATTGATTTAATTTTAACATTTGGAATTTTTCAATTAATGGAACTACCAAAACTTATCTGTCTTCAGTTTTGATAAGTCACAAAACCATAACGAATAAAAATGAATCTGCACTAATGCAAGTTACAGATAACGTAAGTAACAATAACAACATATAATATTGATTTCAAAATTACATGTGTAAAATTACTTGCCAAATCTTGTTTCACAGTATTTTCCAGTCCATCCCTCTTTACAGAAACAGGTTCCAGCACCAGAAATTCCTTCATCACAGATTGCATTTTCTGTGCAATTACATTCTGTGAGATTTCAAAACAAAAGTAACATGTGGACGTTGCTGTTGTTCAAGGGGTCAGTCCAGGTGAAACTCAGTTTGTAGATTGTAACAGCAATAGACAAGTGATGTAGGTATAAGCAAATTCATAGCAGGGCTATAGTATGATTTTTCCTATATCAGATGGCAACTTTTGCATAGAAATACTGCTGAGATGTACGATCTATATGAATATAGCAGTTTAGTGTAGTATTTGTAAGCTGCTTTAGTTCTGTATATTTGATTAGGTAGATTTCTTAAATTTCACTAAGATAAAAAAAATTAAGTAATTCATTAGTAAACTCGGTTATGCGTTTGTAGAACACCACATCAGTTATAAAATACATAGCAAAACTACCAACTTTTCTGCAGTAAGTCAGAAGAACATAGAGTTGGTTGCAATACATACTTTTGCAGTTTGGTCCATATCTACGAGCTTCACACAATTCACAGGCTGTTCCACTGAAGCCCACTGAGCACTGGCACATTCCATTTCCGAGTCTTCTATCATTACAACTTCCATGAGAACTACAAGGTGACTGTATTCCTCCAGGACACACTGAAATAACAAAGTCTCAGGGTAAATCTTCTATATTAATAAAGAGTTTTAGGTCTGGGCCTTGAGTGAAAGGAGGATGCTCCACTTTGAAACAGAGGAGACCACACAGCCCAATAGGCTGAACCTTTGCATATTTTGGCAAGGTGTGAAGTTCATTGAGTTTCATGAACAGTTTTAAAAAGCAGTGATTTGTAGTTAGAAAAGCAAGCAAATCTGATACCCATGGTGAGCACTGTAAAAGGCTGTTTGAATGAGCAGTGATCAAGCTTGAATTCCAGACTAAGAGGAACGAAAAGGTTCTGTATTCAGGTGCAGCTGGTGGCAGCAAGAAACTGATCTATGCACAAGTGACCAATTATCAATGATGGAGATGCTCGGCTTGCCCAACTGTGTGATTGGTTCTTGGATGACTGAGCAGCTTGGAGCTGGAAACAAGTTACAGAGACCCAGAGAGAGAATGAAGCGTGCAGATCTTTCCTCGCCTAGAAAGTACCTATTCCCTACATTAAATGTTTATGTTTAAACCTGGAAAAAAAAAGTTACCTTTCCGGCAGCAGCTGCTGTGAGTTGTGACTTCTGAATTGATAAACTGGAGACGTTTTCCAACTGAATCAGTTGCTTTGTACTTTTTACAAACTAGAGAAAGACTCCAGAGAAAGACATCTGGACAAAGGCTGTGACCAGCCAAAGGAGGATCATCTCAGCATCAGATCCAGGGGCACTGAACTGACTTCCCAGTTTTCCTGCCTCCACTAATAATCCATCTTTCCCTATTTGCTTGTGTATGTAAGGGAAATATAAAAGTGGATTTGAATTTTAGTTTGTTAAATGCCAGCTTCTATTTGTTTTCCTGTAGTTATTGTCTAATTACTTGTTGTAAATAATAATCTTTGGTCAGAACAGAAACCTGGTGTGTGCTTTCCATCAACCATGGTGTGAAAGTAAGGTGAATTCGTGCAGTGCATCTCAAGAGATGTTTCACACTGCTGTTGGCAGTGGAGGGGGAGGATGTTTGTGGATGTGGTGCCGTGCAGGATGAAGTCAAGCTTCTTGAGTGTTGTTGGATCTGCATTCACCCAGGCAAGTGGGAGTATTCCATCACACTCCTCACTTGAGCCTTGTAGATGATGGACACGCTTGGGGATGTCAGGATGTGAGTTACTTGCTGCAGCATTCTAGTCTCTGACCTGCACTAATAGCCATTATATTTATATCGATTGTCCAGATGAGTTTCTGGTCAATGGCAACCCTTAAGATATTGATAGTGGGAGATTCAGTGATTGTAACACCATTGAATGTCATAGAATTCATAGAATCACAGACCATAGAATCCCTGCAGTTTGGAAACAGGCCATTCAGCCCAACAAGTCCACAATGACCATCCTAAAAGCATACCACTCAGACTCACCCACCACCCTCCCCCACCCTATCCCTGTAACTCTGCATTTCCCATGGCTAATCCACCTAATATACACATCCCTGAACATTATGGGCATTTTAGCATGGCCATTCCATCTAAGCTGCACATCTTTAGATTGTGGGAGGAAACCGGAGTACCTGGAGGAAACCCACGCAGACATGGGGAGAATGTGCAAACTTCACACAGACATTACCCGAGGCTGGAAGTGAACCCGAGTCCCTGGTGCTGTGAGGCAGCAGTGCTAGGAACCGAGCCACTGTACCACCCCAAGGGGCGATGGTTAGATTGTCTCTGTCAATGAAAATGATCATTGCCTGGCATTTGTGAGGCGCAAATGTTACTTGCCACTTGTCACCCCAAGCCGGGACTTGCTACATTTGGACGTGAACTGCTTCAATATCTGAGTAATCAGGAAGGAGGTAGAACATGGTGCACTGATCAACTACATGTATTTCATAATTGCTCAGTCTTTCCTCAACTTCAGGGAGGTGCCAGAAGACTGGAGAATTGCCAACATTATGGCCTTGTTCAAAAGAGTTTCAAGGATAATCCAGCGATTATAGACCAGTTAGTTTAACTTCAGTGATGAGGACATTTTTGGAAACAATTAATCTGATAGAATCAGCATGGGAAAAAAGGTGGGTCGATTGGGAAGAGTCAGCATATATTTTTTAAAGGCAAGATCATATTTAACCAATAAAGTTTCCTGAAGAGATAATGGAAAGGGTAAGTGAGGGTAACATTTTTGACACGGTATAGGCGCATCTCCAGAAGACATTTAATAGTATCTCACAACATACATGAGGAAAATTATAGGTCATGATGTAAAGGGGACAGTTGCAACATGGAATCAAAATTGGCTAAGTGTCTGGAAACAGATTGGATATGGATGGATATTTCCCAGGATGGAATAAGTTTTTTTTAGTGGAGTAGCCCAAGGGCTGGTATTGGGACCCTTGCTTCTTCTGATATATATTAATAACCTGGACCCTGATTTGCAGGGGACAATTTTTAAGTTTGCAGATGACACAAAATGTGGAAGAATTGTAAGTGTGAAACTCCAAAAGGATGTCAATAAGTTGTTGGGGTGGTCAGATAGGTCGCTGACAAGGTTCAACACACAGAGGTGTGAGGTGATGCACCTCGGTAGGAAGAACACTGAGCTTAGAACTTGACAGATCTAACCAATAACTTCTCTCCCCTGCTCTTTTAAACCAATAGTACTGTAAGTGTTTCGTTTTGAAGTATTTATTCCATTCTGTTTTGGAAATTACTACCGAATCTCCTTTCACCAGCCAATTGTGTTATGCATCATAAAAAACTCACCGCATGAGAAATGTCTTCTCTGACTCTTTTGCCACTGTGCTTCAATCTGTTCCCTCCTCCTGCTGGAAGTATTTTCTTACTATTTACGGTATCATAACCCCACATAATTGTGAACTTTATTAAACTTCCCCTTAACTTGCTCTACTCAAGGGAGTATCTCCATCTCTCCACACCTATTCAAAAGTTAGTTTCAAATATTCGATTATTTACCTGTTGCTGGCTTGTAGTGTGATTTATTTAAAGTTAAAGTGAAAATGTACCTAACCTCAACAAAAAACAGTGAGCAATAGAGGCAAAAGCAGAATACACACATCTCAAACCAGACAACAGTGATAGAATTGTGACATATGCCATATCTGATACTACCTTGACAGTAAGGCCCATAATGATTTTTGCAACACTGGGGAATCCAAAGGGGATTAACACATTGTCTGCTGCAGCCACGTGTTGCATGGAGGTGACCTTGACGAATCCATTTTCCTCTAATCAGTTTATAGGGAAATACAACAGTATTCAGCCGATCACCAAACTGCTCCCGAAGGTGTCTGCCTGGTCTGTTCGCTTGGTTGTACCAACAGCTTTGGTAATCAGAACCATCCTTTAAATTGAACAGCAGAAATAAAGATGTGTAGAACATGAACATTGCTGAAAAAAATTGCATTTTTGCAGCAGCTTTCTATCCTTCACTTTTCAGGACAATTTGAATGAAATGCCAAAGGGAAAGCAACATTTACACTTTTGAGAGGGAGTGCTGATTGGTTGGCAAGTAGCATCTGATTGGTAGAGAGGTTCCCAAGGAGAATGCACCAGTTCATTGACAACTGATGTAAATCACATCTAATGTCGGACACAACATTGAGTTTTGCAAGCGCTGGCCAATTGGGTATGATCAGTACCTTGCCTGTTGAGAACAGTCAAAGAGCTAAGCTGTTGGTTACAATCTACCAGTCTTTGCGACATACAGGCTACGTTCCGAGCATCATACAGGCACTCAAATTTATATAACACATTATTCACTTGCATCATAGTTAGAACATCTTTTTTTGGCTTGATGGTGACATCATTTATTGGTGAGCAGCACTGATATTGCAATTTGTTGCTCAAACCTTTGAGGTACCTTACCCAGGGTATTATGAGGTAGTTTTGGCACTTTTTGGGACCAAGTGTGATAGCTGTAGGCCCGTTCATGAGTTTGCCTGATAAACAGCAAGAAGTGATCAACACAGCATAATCCTGCAGGATTACTTAGATGCATCCCTATTTCGGCACCAAGCTTGCACAGTAAACAAATGCCACGGACCCACCAGCATTGTGTGAATTAGGATTCATTAAACTACTGAATTCAGCAACTCATGCAGTTGAGATCAGTATTAACAACATTCTACATGTGCCAATAGATGGTGTAGCTATGGGATTACTACTATCTTTGGTTTCCATGAAAAATTAGCTTTCAAATGGAAATTACATAAAAATGGGACATTAGGACTGGCTGTGGGGAAGATGGCACCTGTATAAGGTGGACGCGTTGCATCAGAACAGAGCTGAGACGGAATTCTTGCAGGGCATTTTGCTAGTGCTTTTGGGATGGCTTTAAACTAACTTGGGAGAAGGGGTGTGGGAACCAATCATAGAGAATACGAGATTCACAAAATACTTGGGGCTACAGCTGACTCCAGCATAAAGAACAGCACGTTAAGAGGTGAAGTTGGAGTAAGAGAGAAAGAATTATGTTCAAAAGAGTTAACACACACATATGTAAATGCATGGTGTAAAGTAAATAAGGGTGGGGAGTTTAAGATGCAGATTGCCATGCGGAAATTTGATGACATGGCAATAACAGAGAAGCTCCTGGAAGGGCAAGACTGGGTATTAAATATTCCTGGATATAAGATAGAAAAGGAAAGAAAGGAGGAAGAGTAGCAGTATTGGGTTAAGAAGGATACTGTTGTGCTGGAGAAAGAGGATGCTTCAGAGGGTTCAAGGATAGATTCAATTTGGCTAAAGCCAAGGAATGGAAAGGATACAATTACATTGTTTGGTGTAGTTTATAGACCACCATCTAGTGTAAAAGACAGTGGGTAGGATTAACTGGAAGAAGAGTTTGATGGGAAAAACAAAAACTGAACTGTGGACTATCTTCAAAGAGGAGATGGTTCAGGAACAGTGAAGGCATATTCCTTCAAAATGATAAAGGTAGGACAAACAAATCCAGTTCCCTGGATGCCAATGAAAGTAGAAACTAACATCAGGAAGAAAAACTGCACTAATGGCAGGTGTAAGGCAGAAGTACACTTATGAACCAAGAGGAATACTTAAGGTTTAGAGGGAAGGTGAAAAAGCAAATAAGAGAAGCAAAGAGGAATTACGAGAAAAGACAAGCAGTTTATATAGAAAGGAAAGACCAACGTTTTCCATGGGCTTATAAATAGTAAAACAAAAGACAGTGGTTTGAGGACGAGTAGGACCAATTAATGACCAAAAAGAGGATTTACACATGAAGACAGGGTGCACAGAATGGTTGTAAAAAAAATACTTTGTATCTGTATTTACTGAAGAGTAGGAAACTCTGTCAGTAGAAGATTTCAAAATTAATAAGGAAGGAGTCTTGGATAGATACAAGAGCATGGAAATGATGTTGAAAATCGTATATGACATGTGCTAGACCTCAGCTGATTATAGGGAAAAATTGAATGCATTGGAGAGAATACAGAAGCAATTTACAAGATTAAAAAAGTTTGGACTGCTCACTTAGGAGAGAAGGTGGCTGAGAGGACATTTGATAGAAGTTTTCAAAATTATGAGCATACAGAGCAGATAGGCAGAAGCTGTTCCTGCTCATTAAAGAACAATGAGTGGGCATGGATTTAAAGCGATGTGCAAGAGAACCAGGGTAAAGTGAGAAAATATTTTTTTCACTCAGCAAGTAGTTAGGGTCTGGAATGCACCGTCTAGAAATGTGGTGGAGGCAGGTTCCATTGAGGAATTCAAGACAGCATTAGATGATTATTTGGATAGAAGTAGCATGTAAGGGTGTGTGTGTGTATCAACAGGAGGTTGGCACTAGGTAATAGAACACCAAACAGTACGTTACAGGAACAGGCCCTTCAGCCCACCATGTCTCTGCTGACCATGATGCTATTTTAAACTAATCACATCTGTCTGCACAGGGTCTGTATTCCTCTATTCTCTGCCTGTTCAAGTGACTAAATGCCTCTTAAACTTTGCTAATGTATCTGCTTCTACCACCACCCCTGGCAGTCCTTTCCAAGCAATTATTACCCTGTATGTGAAAATATTTCCTCGCACATCTCCTTTAAACTTTTCCCCTCTCACCTTAAACCTATGCCCCTTGTATTTGATATTTCCACCCTGGGAAGGAGACTCCAACTAGTCACCCTATCCATAATTTTCTCTCATAATTTTATATACTTTATCAGGTCACCACTCCAACACTCTAGTGAAAACAACGCAAGTTTGTCCAACCTCTCCTTTTACCCAATACACTCCAGTCCAGGAAACATCCTAGTAAACCCCCTTTTGCACTCCCTCCAAAGTCTCCACATGCTTCCTATACTGCAGTGACCAGAACTGTGCACGGCACTACAAATGTGGCCTGACCTAAGTCCTATACAGCTGCAACATGACTTGTTGCCTTTTATACTCAATGCCCCAACCAATGAAGGCTAACATGCTGTATTCCTTCTTTAATACCTTATTCACTTGTAATAATGCTCGTTTTGAAGAGCTGGTGCATGAATGATGGGCCAAATGGCCTCCTTCTATGCCGTATTACTTTGTGATTCTGTGATAACCATGCATATTTCTGTTACGTAAATACGTTTGATATGATTCCACAGCTAATCTAAGAATCTCCTTCTGTGTCTTAATAGCACTCATATGTTCAAATTCGCCTTTCAAATGCGGCAGTAAAATGAGCTTCTTTCCTTGATATTCTAGTTGAGAATTGGCCAGGCATTCTCTACCACTGTCTACAGCAAACCTACCTTCACTGATCAGTATAAACGTTGGGATGCCTACACACTATAAAGATTGGCCTTTAGACAGCAACCACAGAAATAGGGGCCATGCGATTTATTCACCGAGCAGCATACAGACAGAAAGAACATGTGTAAACGCTGCAAAGGTTTCAATTTTTCAAAATTGGTGACAGCCATTTTCTGGATCATTCTTTACCAATACCTTAACGAATCAGAGTCAATCTGCTAGGTTTAAATATTTAAACAAAGCTCAACCATTAATTGCTTATCATCATTAACTTGTGCATTCACTATAGCAATGCATTTATCATTCAGAGTTCACTTGCTGTCCAACCAGCACTCTCCCTTCATTCAGTATGAATGCTTTCCCTTTGGTTTTACTTCCAAATTGACCTGAAGAGTGCAAGACAAAAAGCTTCAACAAAAAGCTTCAACAAACTTATGTATTTTGTATAGTGATAACACTAGCTGCAGTGGTCACAGACTTTTAAGGACATTGTGTTTTATTCGCAATTGGTTGTGGGGATGTGGGCCTATGGATATATTAATTATTATCTCACATTATCAGTTGTGACATCCCTAGCATTGTGCCATGTAGGAATTGAACTTTGTGCATAATTTGTAATGTCATGGACTTGGGACACATTTAGAAACCTTTCCGGTAGTGTTCACCTGATAGTCATCTCTTGAGGCTACACACACATTTGGAGAATATGTTTGAGATACATGAGTGCAGTGCAACCAAATTAAGAGTGCTTGTGGCTTCCAATGTTGCATACTTATGGGCTAGCTGTCCCATGAGCCTGCAGCTTTTTAGAGTTATTCTGCCCTGTTAGGCCTAAGGTAAAAGTTACTACAATAAATGCATGTAACCTTCTGACTTGTTTTTGATGTGTCTCTTAAAGACTTCTGCATCTTCTTTCTCTTTGACCATATCAGACATTAGACAAGTCAAAATCATTAAATCATTCATTGACATCTAGCATCTTACTATACAATTACTGAGATAACATAACCAAGGCCTGTGTGCTCAGGTTTTGGTATTCTAACTTTCTAACTTTGCTTGCTTTTGACTATTTGGCTTATGATCAGGTGCAGTTGTGGCCAAACATAGGAATGTAGCTCTAAACTGATGAGGGAATGCTTCTTTGACAGTAACTAATTTGTCCTTATCAACTTATTTTACGGAAGGCGAAAACATCAATCAGTCCTGTTGTCAGTCAACCTTGTTCCCTATGCAGATTAATGACTTCTTTTTCACATTCCCTTAAGTTCTGCTGATGACAAACTCCTACGTTAGCCAGAGTAGTCTGCACTTCATTTAATGTCCACTTCTTCACTGTCCACACAGCTAACACAACTTCCTTATTGTTCTCTGCATCTGCAAAGCATTACTATTTCTTAGGTTATCCAAAGTAAAAACAAATATATATGCTTATATACACATTACTGGGATTAGGCAAAAGCATTATTCTAACAGATATATTCAATGCCTTGCCTAATAAAATATAAGAGCTGGGAGGCTATGCTGGAACTGTATAAATCATTATTTAGTCTGCAGTTTGAGTACTGTGTAGCTCTGGTCACCTCATTACAGAAAGGGTGTAATTCTACAAGAGAGTGCACAGAGGAGATTTATGAGGATGTTGGATAACTGCAGTGATGAGGAAACATTGGACAACATAGGATTGTTCTCCTCGGAACAGAAGAGGCTGAGGAGAGATTTGATTGAGATGTACAAAAGTGTGAGGGGCTGGGATGAAGTGGAAAGGAAGTGGATATTTATCTTAGCAGAAAGGCTAGTAGAGGCATCGGTGGGTAGAAAGATTAGAGGCCAGATGAGGGGCTTTTTTGGACCAAAAGGGTTTCAGGGGTCTGGAAATCACTACCTGAAAGGGTATTAAAGGCAGAAACCCTCAAATCATTTAAAAGGTGTCTGGATATATGTTGTCACAGTGCTGTAACCTGCAGAACTAAAGACCGAATGCTAGAAAAAATGGAATTAGACTGGGTGAATTGTTCTTAGGCTGGTACCGACATGATGGCCAAAGTGGCCTTCTCTGTGCCACAAACATTCTATGATTCTAATGAAGCTACTATAAAATATACTGGAGGATGCTCAGGTATTTACCTGTGGTTCTTTTTGTGAACATTATGCAAAACTGTATTGATCTAAAATAACTTAGGGCAAACTTTCCAAGTAAACCAAATCTTACCTGTGGTTTTGTTCCAAGAGGACAGGCAGGAGGATTCAAACAACTACCACAGGGACCCTAAACATAAACAGTTCACATTAACCCAGAAGTGTATATCATTTACTTTTTTAAAAAATATATCATTTTGAAGCAGATTTTCTGGTTTCTGTGTTTGACTGTATTGCGTGGCTTCTATTCAGCGCACATTGAAAACTTGGATGTGGAGGATTATATAGCTGTAAGGAAGATGTCTGAATTCCTAACTATTTTGGATGGAAAATCTGGCATGCTCCCTTACATCCCTATGAACAGCTCTTATTTACATTTTCTCTTTCCAGTCCACTATACCCAGACAGAAACAAAGGAAAGTCTATCCTTGAAACGGCACAGACAATCAATCTCAATCGATCTTGCAATAAAGTGTATAGAAAGCATTTTACTTAAAGTCGCAAATAGCTTGAACTATGAAGACCAATAAATGTCAATCACAACACAATTAGAGAGATGGTGTAATTAAACATATGGAAGAAATTCAAATAGAAATTACAAATAATGTTAGCATATTGATTCCACTAGGCTTCCAGGGAGACAGTGACATGTTGTAGCAAGGGGAAAAATAGTTAAAAAAAAAAGCAGTGGTTAACACTGTTGCCTCACAGCACCAGGAACCCGGGTTCGATTCCATCCTCGGGCAACTGTCTGTCTGGAGTTTGCACATGGAGTTCTCCCCATGTCTGCGTGGGTTTCCTCTGGGTGCTCCGGATTCCTCCCACAGTCCAAAGACGTGCAGCTTAGGTGGATTGGCCATGCTAAATTGCCCGTAGTGTTCAGGGATGTGTAGATTAGGTGGATTATAGTGGAATGGGTCTGGGTGGGATGCTGAGGATCAGTGTGGACTTATTGGGCCGAAGGGTCTGTTTCCACACTGTGGAGATGCTATGATCTATGAAAAAGCACCCACTATAAAAACATCCAAAAGGAAAATAGGGCTGTAAATAACTCTAAGGTGAGATATTAGAAAATAACTAGCACTTAACAAATACATATCTATTTAATTGGTCCATATAATTAGCACTGTGGAATTAGAGGGATATTTCTTTATGATTAGATTAAGCAATGCTTAATGATGCTTCAGGATGGATTCACTGACTGCATGCTGCCAGCAGATGGCGCACTCAAAGGATGTGTGGTTCAGGTTATTGTTGCTAAACAATAATAATCCTATCCTTTCTTCTGAAATGCAACTCTGGGCCAGGAGTGTGAAGAATTTACACTAGCATGAAAACATAATCACAGATGTGTATGGCAACTTGAATTAAGACCCCAGACAGAGGTTAACTATATTTTTCATTGAAAAAGAAATCTTGTTAGATATTATAAAGATGAATCTTGACCCATCCATCCAGAACTAACCTAGTCTTCCGTCAAAGCATCTTGTAACATAAACAGAAGCAGCAGACAATGAAGTTAATTTGGTAGAAAGACTTACACGGGCATGGTGCATCGTAAGTGCGTCACATCGAGCTCCTATATGTGGAGGTTCCAAGATATTGTTGATGCCATATGCAATCCCACCATCAAATTCCAGGTGTCTCTGAACAATCTGAGCACTTCCATCATTCACAATCAGATGTCCCTGATCAAAGATAATATTGCATGAATCAAACTTTGTGAATAGGGCAGTGATAATAATTAAGGGACTTAGTTATCATTATGCATGGTAGTGGATTATAGCATTAACTGAAGTAGGTCTTTATTTTTATGTAAAATCAACATTGAAAATATTTCTAAACTACACAGCATGACATTTTGATTTGGTGTGGTAGTTTAAGACATGATCATGAATCAGCAGCTTCTTTAGCTCTGTCTTGGGTTTATTTCCACTGAAACAGAATCCTGCTACAATTTCACTACCACTTGGGTTAAATTATCCCACGGTATCAAATCATTTGTTTTAACTTGGTTAAAAAAAAACATCATCTTGTAAATTTGTCTATGAACTTAAATTTTGAATTCAATTTTTCATCCTAAACAATATCCCCACTAAACTTTGCCTTTGCATATCTGTGCAGTAACCTCAAAAGGTATTGTGCAAGCCTTGTTATATTTTAAACTTTGCACATTTTCTGTGACTGGTAAAAGTTCAAAAGGAATCACACACTGAAAACAAAATACTGGTTGCATACAACAACAAGAAGTTAAAAGAGAATATTGACTCCAAGGTCGCCTCTTTTCTTCACGCCAATTTTCTGCCCTGAAGATATTAGGGTTTAATTCCATATGTGCTCACTGTATCTGTTATTGGCCACTCTTCATGCCTGAGCTGAGGCAGTATCAACAAGTCTTTTAATGACTAGAGGATAATAGATAATCCTGATCCTGTCCTCAATCCAACATTGATACACATGCTTATTCCAGGAGACAGTAGTGAATCAAGCAATACCTTTGTCTAACTTTTCTTTTCCAAATCCAAGAAATGCGTCCAAATGGAATGCCCGTCACTATCCCTGCATGATCAATGAATTGACAGACTATAGGAATAGTGCTGTTCCTGGTTTGTGTAGCACAATTTTACAACATGAAAACTTACCTACTTCTGATTATATCTTGCAGAGCTCTAGTCCATCAAACGTATTCGAAACATGATTAAGTAGTCATCAATATATTGAAGGAGGAAACTCCCGAGATAATCACTAAGCATTAAGAACTTAGTCCAAATTGTGCCCATATATCATTCATATTACAAGTCCAATCTGAGGGTAGAGCTTTCCTGATAATTATTCTGTGTGGAGTCTTAGGAATCCCCTTGGACACGTTAGCCTTGTGGAGGATGGTGTGTGACTTGACCCTTCAGTTGATGATTGTTCAGTGTTAAAGTTTGGTATGGGCAACATTTTGGGATAAAGTTTTAATATTCATAACTTCAGCTTTAATATGCTGTATAACACTTACAATTATAGTTCTGCTGCAGCGGACTGAAATAACTGATCCTCGCATGGTCCTCCTGCTGCTAATGAGTGGAAGGTCTGCTGCTAAAGTCTGTAAATATAAAACATTGCACAAGTATTTGAAATAAATTGTATTCAGAAGATATAGAAAATGAACCAATTAATGCAGTGTACTTATTTTGACACTAGAGGGGAAAATCTGTTCAGCAAAAGCTGCTTTTTGGCATATGATTTATGAGAAGCAATGATTATTTCGGTAAATAGTCAGAGGTCCTAAAAATGCATGGATCACTATATCAGTGTAAACACAGCAAAGTAGGCACCAGTGAGCTTCATCCACACTCATTTATTTCTGCAAGACTTGAGAATTATTATCAGAACAGGGGGAGGCAAAACTAACAATGCCAGTAAAAGAGTCACGGCCCAGTTCAGGTCAAATTTACTAATCCAACAGTTCCAACAAAGAGTGTGGTCAGAAATAAGGGTCTAGCTGAGTGTCCAAAATAGCTATTTGATGAGAATTGTAATTAGCAAAAAAGATGGAGGAATGGTGTAGTTTAGTTGATATTTAAATGATTTAAAAAACAAACTTTAAATTGAATTGTAACTTAAAATCATGCTTGATAGCACAAATGGCATTACAGGAAGGCACAGAGATGTGTAATTCCTGCAGAATTGGGAAACTTGATTAACAGATGTTAACTGGATCAAACATGCGTAGGAGGTGTTTCCAACTGAAATTGAATTAGACGTGGAGTTGGACCCATCCTGACAAATCAGGGAGCAGGAAAAGGTCTTTGGAGAAACAGTTTCAGAGAGTGGTTGAACCTCCATTGAAGGTTAAGGGGCTGGCAGAGGAACAAACAGTTTATTATCCAAATATTGGGGTAAGTAAATAGATTTTCTAGCACGGAAACTCCCTGAGGAAATGATCTACAACACGTTTGTGGTAGGATCCTCAGCAAGACCATAAAATACATTAAAATGGAAACAAATGGCTCACTCAGATGAGGGAGAAGGGGAGATGATCAATTAAATAAGAAATGCAGTAGCATTGGGAAAATCACTAGTTAGAAAAGGTGGCTGCTACATTATGCAGGCTTTGTTGTCTCACAGAGCAATGGTTAAGGACTTTTCAAGAAAACTGGGAAAGTTTATGGATAAAGGAGGAGTGGGGCCATATATTGTGGCCTATTTGGAACATAAAAGAAAGGAAAGGACAGAGGTTAAGCAAAAGTAAATTAAGATTAGAAAAGAAGCTTAGGAAAGGGGGAGGTTTCCAGCTTGCTGCCTAAGCAAGGTTTTAGATAATGGGAGAACATGGAAGGACAGGCAACTTTAAAATAGGTACAGAATTAATAAAAAGGCAAAACAGATATTTTTTTAGATAAATAAACAGAGAAATTCAAACTGCAGAGGAAGGGAGTAGGGCAAGTAAAAACAATCAAAGAATATGTAGAAAAGGTAGAACTAGCCAAGAATAAGACATAAATTATAAAAACCACTAAAAAGGAAAACATGCAAAATGCATTCAGGGAATTGAGGAAGAAAGTCGTTTCAACCAATTATAAACATGGAAATAAAACAAGATGAAGAAATGGGCTGTAGTCCTTCAGGAAAGAAGATACATCAAATACGAATGAAAAAGATTAAGCACATTCCAATCTTAAGATTGCAAGCCATAAAGTGGCGAAACTAAAAGCAGTTAGTGATCAATGCAGAGAACATGTCAATTTTGAATAATGGTATAGATGGGTGGTTGAAGGAATAAAGGTGAGAGGAATTTTAGTACAGATTGGGCCTATGTGATTGGGGCTATTACTCACTTAGAAAATAAACACTAACAGTGACAGATTGGCTGATTGTGGTTTGTGCATTGCAATTTCTAACTAGTTTTATGTAATTCTTTGACGACCCCCATCTTGGAGTACAGAATTAATGAATTCACTCGTGTGTACAAATGCTTATTGTTTCAGGTATAGATTTATAGCCTGGAATCATTAGCCACAGGGCAAAAATTTGTCTTAAAATTAACCAATTTATAAATTACAGGACTCCACAGGAAGGGCCTGGTAGACAGGAAGTTTCTCAGATGGAGGAAAACCAAAAATGAATTCTACATCTTAAAAGTTTCTAATTAGAAGTAATTTGCTCTTCCATCAACAGCATGTCTAGTTACAGGAGTTGTTGAACTTTGAAGCAGTTCATACCACTCAATTTGTGCAGGCCTGTGCTGTGCTCTCATCATAAATCAGGCAGCAATATGACAAAAGACCTAGAGTTAGGCTATATTCCACAGATGGCAGATCCCAGGACTCACTGCCAGTTCCTGGGGCCTGGTTTGGGACTCGATGTTTTGATCAAGTCCTGAAGAAGGGCAATATCCGAAATGTTGACTACTCCTTGCCTCCAGAAGCTGCCTGGCCTGCTGTGTTCTTCAGCCTCCTGTTTGTCTATCTATGTTTTGCAGGTTTGGGTAGCCATGCAGTAGCTCTGATTGGAGGGCAGAAGTGCATCCAAGGGACAAAACTGGGGCCATCTCATTGTCTAGTTCTGGGATAGATTGCCAAAGAGATCTCCAGCACATCTCTCACTTCATATCCCTTTTATATAGGAATTTGCAGAGACGTAGGTCTCTTTCCAACAGCACCATGGCTGTACCAGCGCAAGAAGAATAAAGCACAGCAGAACACTAGCAATCTATATGAAGGTGAAGAGGAAGCATTATTAATCTGGGATGGCATTGACACAATAGTTAGAAATGACCTGGGTTCAGGAGATCAGGATATAAAAGCAGTTTGGTTAGAGATGAGGAATTGAAGGGGAAAAAGGTCAATAATGGAAGTGGTCTTTAGGCCTCCTATTAACCATAATGAAGGACGAAATGTACAAGAAATATTTCAGAATACTTAGAACAAGTATACTCCAATAATAAAGGAAAACTTTAAATGGTTGGACCCATTATTGGTGCTTAACTAAAATAGTTAAGGAAAGCATCAAACATAAGGATAAAAAATAATGATTGAACAGAACATAAAAAAACAGCAGAAAATGAAAAAAAGATTAATCAGGAGAAAGAAATTAGAGTACAAGAAGCAGCTAGCTAGAAAAGCAAAAATGGACTGCACGAGTTTCTACAGGTATTTATAAAGGAAAAACGTGAGTGAGTGAGTGATGGTCCTCTAGAGAGTCAGAATGGAGAGTTAATAATAGAAAATAAGTAAATGGTGGATAAAATGATCAAGCATTTTGCTTCTGTTTTCAATATAGAGGTTACAGCAAATATTCAAGTAATAGATGAATATCAAGGGGTAGGAGGAGAGGAATTTAATGACATTACAATCTCTAGAGAAGCAGTACTAAGAGAACGGAGCGGAGGACTTTCGTCCGAGTCCAGATGGACTTCATCCTACGGTCTTAACAGAGATGGCTAATCTGAGGAAGGGTCACTGGACCCGAAACATTCATTCTGTTTATTCCTTCACAGATGCTGCCGGACCTACAGAGCTTTTCCAGCAACTTTGTTTTCGTTCCTGATTTACAGCATCCGCAGTTCTTTCGGTTTTTATGTGGTGAAGGTAATAGATATGTCGGTGATAATTTTCCAAAATTTGCTAGATTCTGGAAAGGTTCCATCTGGTTGGAAAGTAGCAAATATCATTCCTCTATTCAAGGCAGAAAACAGGAACTAAAGGCAATTGCAGAATGTGCAATACTTGCCCATTCACCTCCTTCTTCCTCACTGTCCATGGCCCCAAACACACCCTCCAGGTAAAGCAGCATTTCACTTGTACTTCTTTTAATCTAGTCTACTACATTTGCTGCTTACAATGCGGTCTCCATTACACTGATGAGAACAAATGCAGACTGGTGACCGCTTTGTGAATACCTCCATTCTATCCATAGGAATAAGCCTGACCTCCTACTTGTTTGCCACTTCAATAAACTGCCTTGCACCTGTGCCAAGGGTCACTGGACCCAAAACGCTAACTCTGTTTATCTCTCCATAGATGCTGGCAGGCCTGCTGAACTTTCCCAACAATTTCTGTTTTTGTTTCTGCCCTGGGCTTGCTGCAATGTTCCAACAAAGCACAACTCAAGCTCAAGAAATTTTTCCCAGGGTGGAAATGGCTATCACAAGGGGCCATAATTTTAAGGTGATTGGAGGAAGGTATAGGGGAGATGTCAGAGGTAGGTTCTTTACACAGAGAGTGGTGGGCGCGCGGAATGCGCTGCCGGCAGTGGTAGTGGAGTCAGATACATTAGAGACATTTAAGCGACTCTTGGATAGGCACATGGAGGATAGTAAAATGTAGGTTATGCAGGATAGTTTGATCTTAGTAGGATAACAGGTTGGCACAACATCGTGGGCCGAAGGGCCTGTACTGTGCTGTACTGTTCTAAGTTCTATGTTCTAAATAATACCTCATTTTCCTGTTGGCACTTTACAGCCTCAAGGTCTCATTAAATTCTATAACTTCAGAAACTGATTATATTATTATGCCTGTTCTCCATCTTTCTTACATTCTCTGCCCCAACTCCACATCCCCCCTAACCAACAGTCTTGTATTGTTTGCGTCGTCTACTTTGCTGTTAGTAGCAAGGACCCATTCTCTCCATTTCAAATCTTAATTTACACTCATTTCACATCTCATTTTCCCTTTCATCATCATTGTCAACCCCTTTGTCTTTTGCACTGGGCCTCCACACCATGTGTCTTCTTGCTTCTCCGTTGCCTCTGTCAAAAGTATTAAAAAAATTTCCAACGCTTTCAGTTCTGAAGAGTCATACCAAAATTGAAACATTAACTCCGTTTCTCTCTCCACAGGTGCCACTGGAACTGCTGAGTTTCTCCAGCATTCTCTGTACGTACTTCAGATTTCCAGCAAATGCAATATTTTGCTTTTATTAAGCAATAGGGCAGTTAGCTTGATGACTACAATGGCGGAGGTGTTAAAATTGAACATTAAGGAGGTTATAATTGGCCCCTTTGAAAACTCAAGGTAATCATTTGGAGTCAGCGTGGTTTTGTGAAAGCAAAAACACATTTAAGCAATTCATTGGAATTCTTTGCACTGTGAATGAAGGAGATCTCATTGGCACACAACACTTGAATTCCCAGAAGGTATTTGACAAGGTGCTGTATATAAGTTGATTTGTACAAAGTAGGAGCTCATGGTGTAATGTGTAACATATTAGCATGGATAGAAGATTGACTAACAGAAGACACCATGCATTAGTTGATCTTTTGTCAGATTTGCAGGATGCGATGAATGAATCCTGCAGCTTGTCCCACTTTTCCTTTTCCTACTACCTTTTCCTAGCTACTACCAGTTTTGAAGAAGACTGGGCTCGAAACATTAACTTTGCTTTCTCTCTGTAGGTGCTGCCAGAAGCGATTTCAGTTTTTGTTTCAGAGGCCTGAGGGGGGCCTGTGCTGAGCCCTCAAAGGTTTACAATTAACATCAATGATCTCGATGAGGCAATCCAAGGCATGGTGGCCAAATTTACAGATGGTATAAAGTAGGAAAGTATGCTGCGAAGAGAACATACAGATTTTACAGGCAGATAGAGACATGTGGAGTGAACAGGCAAAAATCTGGCAGGTGGAGTACAATATGGAGAAATACGAAGTTTTTCAATTTTGCAGGAACAGCCAGACACTCCATGCCCTTGTGACCGGGCCCTGGGCATGAAAGTCCACACCCTCATCCTAGTCCCACAGAAGAGTTTTCTCTCCACTCTGTTATTCCAAACAGGTTAACGTCATGAATTCAATGAAAGCAACTTGGCAGTTTGAATCTGTTGGTGATCGGCCTGACACACTTGCTTTGATCGGGCCTGGTGCCATACAAGCCCACTCCGTGTTCTAAATAGGATGGTGAGCATGAAGAAGGCCAGCTACAAGATTCCCTTCTTGAAGATTATGCTGACAAACACACTCCCATCAACCTGGGCTCAGGACCCTGATATAGACCTGATGTTGGGATCCCAAAGCTTGTCAGAAAATCCAGCCCAAACAGTCCGCACAATTGCAGTTCTTAATTACCTTTGAATCCCTGATCATGTGAAATTTTAAGTACGCCACAAGGTTGTGTCTGTTTTCAATACTATAAAGCCAATCTTGCCTCTCCTTAGGTAGAGAATTAAAAGCTTCATCCATTGGCCAGAACATGGTGAATGGTCTGTGGATTGGATCTTCCAGTAGAGGTAGCAGATTTGTTTCCTGTGAAAATGCAAAGTAATTAAGAAGTTACTATTCTGTAATTTGATCGTTTATAAAATATATAAACCAATTCTTCCAAGAGCTTTCCATAAGAGATACTGATTATAGTATTAGAAGTTTGGAGCCTGCTTCAGATTTTGTTTAGTCAACTTGTGACTCCTGTAGGCAGCTCTCACATCTAACATTCTAGTGTACATCTGTAACATATGATAACATAACCTGGAGGCCTAATGGCAGAAAAGTCTTGTGATTTGAACCAGATATTGTGCATTTCACACGTCTCTGGCATCAAAGGTGGGGCAGGGCAATGAAGGGAATGCAGGCCACAAAGTCAAAGAATGTTATTTCAATGAAACAGTCAACTCATCCCACAAAATCCCTCCTGGTGTCTTCCTGGACGGGTCACTACAGGATTCCAATGTTATTGTTGCTTCTTTTACCCTTCAATATTTCTCTTTTAAAAGCAACTATCTAATTACTTCTTAAAACGATTCAGCAAATCCATACTTCGCCCACTCACTGTGTAAAGAAATATTTTCTAACCTCCCCTTTAATTGCCTTTGTGATCATCTTTAATTTGTACCCTGCCACAAACTTTTTTTTTGTGTACTAATTTACATTGCTGCACTCCCACACACCTCAGGAAACATCAAAGTGCTGCAGTGAATAAGATTCCCCAATCTCTTCAGTGGATGATCAGAAAATCCCACTTCTGTAACATATTCTTACAGCCTTGTCATGGAAAGAGGAGAGACAGCAAAGAGCCATTCTGAAGCAGAAGAAGAGACAAAAATAATGGCAGAAGGTGAGGAGATATTGGATTACCTCTGAAAATGGGTATGGGAACGGCAGTACACAATTAACCCTTGTGTCACAGGTAGCATGTTAAATTCATGCTTTTTTTAAAAAAATACAATTGCTGTGTGTAGCCAGTGTGCTCTGCAATGTTCGTTACCTGTGTGAATCAGCATGTGAGTGGCTAGTGCTAATTGAAGGGAGCCCACACCTCGTGAAAGGGAAGCACATTGTAGCTGCAGGATTATCGGAGGTCAGTCTGAGCTCTATACTTTGAACAATGGCCGAACATGAGGCACAGCAAAGACCAAACTGCAGTTGAGAGAATGCTGGAAGGATTGACCAAAAGGAGAGGTTTCCTGCTTCCACAAATGGAACAATGAACCAGTTATGTCTATGTCCTCTTGAAATCTACTCTTGTCTTCTTCAGTTTATAATACATCCAAATTTTGTGGTATCCATAAATCTTGAAATTGTGCCTTGAACATCCAAGTCTAGGTCATTACTAAATATCAAATAAAGCAGTGACCTTAGTATGATAGAATCCCTACAGTGTGGAAGCAGGCCATTCGGCCCATCGAGACCACATCAACCCTGCAAAGAGCATCCCACCCAGACGCACTTCTCTCCTCTGTCCCTCTAACCCTGCAATTCCTATGGCTAATCCACCTAGCCTGCACAAGCCTGGACACTATGGACAATTTAGCATGGTCAATCCACCTAACATTTTTGGACTGTGGGAGGAAACTGGTGCACCCGGAGGAAACCCACGTAGACACAAAGATCGTGAGGCTGGAATTGAACCTGGGTCCCTGGCACTGTGTGGCAGCATTGCTAACTACTGAGCCATTGTGCCACCTTACTGACAGTATTGACACCTGGGGAATCCTACTGTATAGCTGTTTCCATCGGAAAAGCAACCAGTTACTATTACGAGACAACAAGGTGCAGGGCTGGATGAACACAGCAGGCCAAGCAGCATCATAGGAGCAGAGAGGCTGACGTTTCGGGCCTAGAACCTTCATCAGAAAAGGGGGAGGGGAAGGGGTTTCCGAAATAAATAGGGAGAGAGTGGGCAGTGGGAGAGAGATCCCTTGAGGTTTGTCCGGAGGGAGGAGGGTAACTTCTTCAGGCTAGGACTCTCTGCTTCCTGTTACTCTGACAATTTTGTAGTCTACTGCCACTATCACCTTTATTCCATGAGTTTTAACTTAAATTAAATGTCCCCGCATAATATCAGAACTGAAGATAATCAAAGCAGGGAGTGCTTCTAAAAGCAGTAAGGAAGGTGACTACTTTATTTACCAGCAGGTTTCCTAGACTACACAACTGAGACTGTACTTTAATTGGTGGTTATGTAGTTTTTTTTTAAGAATGTTTTGATGATAGCTTTAGGTGTTCTATAAACTCTAGTGCTTTCCTTTTGTCTAACTTGACAGCGGATTCAGCCAGCAATTCCACACAACACCGCTTCTCTGCCAGAACGTAACTGTTGTCCAAGATCAGGCAGCATGACAAGAAATCTGCTAGTATTAAAGAAAATGTCCTACCTTGATCAAAGTACTAAAAATCTTGTATCCATTAGCATTTGCAACTGTGCTGATGTTGTGCTGCAAAGGAATTCAAACACAAGGAATAAGTGAACACTTGCTCCCAAAATGTAAGATACTAGTCAAACCCAGCCGAACCCAGGTGAGATAGGATTTCTGCAGAGGCAGTGGAAAAATCATTGGCGGCGGTGAGGTGCTGAAGACTAGGGGGCAGCCATCACAGGTTGTCTCCATGTTCATTTCTTGCTGTTGAGGAATCTTCCTAATAGCAGGACTGGTTTCTGACCAGTTTCCTGCCACAAGGATGTAGGATGGAGGTTTAATAATCAACTGGATGATTAATAGACATTTTGCCAGTTTGTCAACACTTAGCAATGGCAAGGGGGGGGTGGCAAAACCAGTACCTGCTTATTACGAGCTGCTGCTCTTAGATCAAGAGGCAAGTCTATCTGGTTTGTATTGCCAACTCACATTTCACCTGGCTGCCAAGATTCGGACCTTTTGATAAAACTTTGGCCAGTGGTCCCAAAATGATCTGTAATTTGCTTTTTACCGTGGTACAGCATCCATAAGTTATTTTAAGCAAATTCAATTTTGGTCTTTTTCCCACCTGCCTCTTCTCTTCCGAAGACATGGAAATTTTCTGGGAAATGGTTTCACACATGGCAGCAGCTCTTGGATAATGTGTCCAATTGACCACTTATTGTGTGACTGCAGGAAGTGAATTCGGCAGCTTTTTATATGCTGAACTTTCATCACAGCTGAAGCTAATAACATGTTTTTACAACATTTCCTTGCTTTCTGTTTTGAAGGAGTCATTGGACTTGAAACATTAACTCTCTTTTGCTTCCACAGATGCTGCCAGATTTGCTGAGTTCTGCAGCACCTTTCTTTATTTTAGATCTCCAGTATTAACAGTATTTAGCTTTTGTTATTTTCTGTCCTTGTTTGCCCCAAGACGGCAGTGAGGGATTTGTTTCTCTCCATAACTGATTAATTTGCTAGGCCGCTTCAAAAGAGCACTAAGGCTCAAAGATGTTACGTGGCACTGGATTTATCTTTCACAAATGTGTCCTACTTGAAAGCTTGAAAACAAATTTCTGGCACTCCAGTACATTACTGAAGGATTGCTGAACTGTCAAAAGGTACGGACTTCCGGATGAGACATTCAACCGCCTGCTCAGATGGATACAAAAAAGACCCCTTGGCCCTAATACTGAAGAACAGCAGAGGCAATATTTATCCCAAAACCAACATCACAAAATATATTTACTGGTCATGATCATATTAGCGCTTCTTGGTGCTTTCTGTGTGCAAATTAGCTGCCATGTATCCTTCATTAGAATCATAGAATCCCTACAGTGTGGAAGCAGGCCATTCTGCCCATTGAGTCCACATCAATCCTCCAGACAGCATCCCATCCGATCCCTGCAACCCTGCACTTCCCATGGCTAATCCACTTAGCCTGCACATCTGTGGATACTATGGGTAATTTAGCATGGCCAATCCACATAACTTGCACATCCTCAGATTGCGCGAGGAAACCGGAACACCCAGACAAAACCCACACAAACACGGGGAGAACGTGCAAACTCCACACAGACAGTCACCCGAGGCTGGAATCGAACCTGGGACCTTGGCGCTGTGACAGGACAACCCTTCAAAAATACTTCGCCAGCTGCAAAACACTTTGAGATGGTTGGTTGTCTTGTAAAGTGCTGCGTAAATGCAAGTCTTTCTTTTTATTTTAGAAAGCACACACACTGTAGCACATTGGAGAACCAGCCAAATATCTTTGACTATCTGGCAGCTTATGATCATTTTTCTAAACCCTGGATAGCAATCAGGAAACAAAGCTTATTTTTCTCTTCCTACCACAGCCGAGGGTAATGTGGCAGTGTACTTCACTACTGACTCAGCTTAAGTTAGTTCAATGAACTTGTGAATCAACAGAGAGCTTCTAGTCTGTACAGCTGATTAATAATGGATTATTGTATCAAAGTTCTTAACCCAGGTCACCACACAGAATTAAATAAGAATTTCCTTTAACCATGTTCTAATCTCCAGCTGAAACTGATCTCCCTAATTGTACTGAGTCACTACTTAACTTTAAGTACATACTTTTAGTAAATGGACATCGAATATTTTCAGCAATCATGCTTTTTTAAATATTTATCCATACTTTTTAGAAGATTTTACAGCTATATTGGCAAAGAACGTTTTTTTTAAAATAAAATGTTTTCTCTGGTTCTTTTCTCATCCAAATTGGCCAGAATTCACATTAAAACTTAATTATGAGAGTGGCTAGAATGTTCATTCAAAGGAGATCATCAATAAGCCAATCCTATCTTTGTCCTTGCATGCTTTGAGTAAAAGGATAGAGGACAGAAATCAGGAGCAGGAACCCAGTCTATATTTCCTTCCTCTATCAATCATTCTAGGGGCTAAATGCAATCCCACCTTTGCCAATCATAGTGGAAATCAGCTATACCTTAACAGATCAAGGATTCAACCTTTGCACTTTGCAGATCAATAGTCACCAAGTACTGCACCATCAGGATGGGCAGGATGCACATGCATTTCATAAAACTGCAACATTAATGTTCAGAGAGACTAACAAGGAAATAGTTTTCATATTAAAATGTGATCAATAAGAAAGCAGTGTATTTTCAGATTTCCTTACAACCTACCAGAGGTAGTGTGACTAATCGGTTGATGGACGTTAAGTTGTATGGAACTAGGATCTTGTTGATGTAATGGACAATTCCATTTGTTGCAATGTAATCAGAACTGATGATCTGTGCATCTCCATTCAAGTAAATTGCATTCTATGTTAAAAAGATCAAAATAATATACCTTTTTAAAACAAAGGTATCACACTCCAGTTTACTGCAGCTAGATAAATCAAATTCACTTCATCTTTATTTCATCTTATACATTTTTCTGGTGTCCAAGGCCAGCAAGGCATCATGGATCATGGTTCAGCACACTGACATCGCCAATGATGCACCAGCATATTTCCTTTACCAAGCTGTGACTTGAATGCTGCTGCAGCAAAGAACCACCCTCAAAATCAAATTCAGTTTGTCTTAGATAACACAGTGTGGAGCTGGAGGAACACAGCATGCCAGGCAGCATCAGAGGAGCAGGAAAGCTGACGTTTCGGGGTGGGACCCTTCTTCAGAAAAAAGAAAGG